CGAGGAAGAAAGGAACGCAGAGTCTCGCGTTTGCGGCACTTGTTTGTACAGGAAATCGGGCAAGAGTGTCGTAAGGTGGTACCCCATGGATGCCGCAGATGACGATGTCGCGGAGGGGAATGCAGCGGTGAGCGATGGCCTTTGGTGGTGCGGCCGCTGCTTTCAGAAACGGTTGGACGGCATAAAGAGAGACGAGAAACAGCCGGAGCACCCAGCGAACAATGCGCATGGATCGGGGGGTGAGACGCCGGTGCCTCCAGATCCGTTGGACACGGTGCGCGCTATGGTGGAAGAAGTCGTCCGTCGAGGTGAGATCCTGTACTGGCAGGACGTCGCCGATTAGGTAACAGCGGAACGCGCGAAGCTTGGCATGGAGGCGTTACAAGGGAGATACCCAAGAAAAATCGTCCGGGCCATATTTGCAAGCAACGAGGAGTCCGGGACGTCACGCTTGGTCAGTCACGAACGTTCCTGGAGTCGGACTGTGACTACCTCCCGGAAATTTCCGGGCTGCCGTTCGACAAGATGTGGATACTGGCCCTCAAGAGCGTGCGGACGGAGGGTTTGTTTGACAAGCCGCTGTTCTTCGAGGAGCAGGATGGCACGTGGGCCGTGCATGTCGACGAATGCGCGAAGCTTTTGGCGACCATGTTCTTCTACAAGGATGAAGCGGCGTTTGGCACTGCTCATTTGACTCCAGCCCAGCTGGTCAAAAGCGTTGACGGCGATGTCGAGGGCTACGCGGACGTGATCCGCTACGCCATCCTCCAACTCCCCAAGAGGAAGACGACAGCCACCTGTCCATCTTTTTTTTCCTTGCGCAAGCAGGCAGAACGAGGTAGCGCCATCTTCCGACACTGGCAGAATGGCCTGAGGGAGACCATGCCGGCGACAAAGTTTGCCGGCAAAGGATGGAGCGTCGACCCACGAGGAAAGGGGAGCGACGGCGACGAACTCACAAAGGAGAACTGCGTGCTTGACCTGTCCGAGTATGCTTATATCGCCCCTGACCGAAATACAGTCACGCTTGCGTGTGGTTGCAATCCGGACACGGCCCGGTGCAACAGGTGCAGGTGCAAGAACAAGAAGTGCTCGTTCGCTTGCGGCTGAAGAAATCGTTGCACCCTACGGCGGGCGGCGCCGGCACTCGTGCGTGCAGGGGGGAGGTCTGCATCACGGCCTACGGTGGGTGCTTCTCAAACTAGGCGAGTAGAGGGTACCTCCTGACCCCAACCACCCATCGAGAGTCGACCGCGGCCATCCTACAGTGTTGCCAATGCCATAGCACTCTTTGCCGCCTCTTAAAGGCAGTAGGAATCGCGTGGAGCGGGACAGGACGACGTGGAGGCGGGGACCCCCGAGTCGCCTGCGAGCAAGGACGTTTCCGCCGGCGAGGCCGCGGAATCTAATAGCGCGGAGTTAGAGGACCCCGAGTCGGAAGAGAACGGCGACTGTTCGGTCGGTGCACTGGACGATTTGATCAAGTTGGAATCGAGCGAATCTGGCTCCATCGATGGGGAACCTGACGGGGTGAGCGAGAAGAGCGTCGACTCCAACTGGAGTGAAGACACAGATGATGGTGGTGCGGATCTCGTAACCGACGCCTGGAACTGAGATCTGGCTACTTCTTCAGGCAGGTACATATATCGTTCCTTGGGATTGGGATTGGGTATGTCGTGCTCGGCATTATTGCACGTCAGATGTCCACGTCGTACCGAAAGATCGTGTGGTCTGATTTGTTCTAACTCCATGTTTCAGTAACATATTTCGCGCGTCCTTGTTGGTGGTTGAACAGGTCCGTACGTGCTTCACTTCCGTTAGATGCATCCGTCCACGAAATACGACGACCCCGGGGTACGAGATATCAGACGGACGAACAGCGCGCGCATTTTCTCCCCTGTATTTCCCTACCCAGTTGCGCAGGGAGGTGAACGGGGGGGATTATTTTTCGGCCGCGCTGGGTGTCCGTTGTTTATTGGCATAGTGTTTTGTTAGTCGCAAACTGCCTGAAAGGTACCGGGGTGCTGTGTGCGTTCCGGGCCTGCCTGTTTCGCTTGTACTGGCTGTAAAAAAGGTGTTTGTTGTTTCCTTCAGTTCGGGCATGATGTTGATAGGCGTGGGCAACCCGGGGGGAGCAGTCTTGTGTGCGGTGTTCGTGTGTAAGTATTTCGTCGCGTTTTCGACACACCCAATGCTCAGTGCGTACAATGTATTCGTATGCTTTGAGAAAAAATACTTCAACAATAATGTACATGTTGCCGGCCGTGCCTGTCTGCGTGCGACGTCAGATAGCCCAAGGTTATCAGCGATCAAGTTCCCTGTTGGTGTAGCTGCCGTGATACTGTCGCTACTCCATCCTCTCGTAGTTTTTTTCTCCGGGATTCCGGAGTGTTGTACTGCTGGATGAGGGCCTCGAGTCAACAGGCACAAGTGTGTGCTGTGCAACACTGCAGCAGGAGAGGGGGGCACCCCAACAGCAATTTCAGTCAAATCTAGCTGACGCCATTCAAGAGTACTCCCCGTGTAATACGTCTTTCAGCACAATTTCAAGTGCTGTACAACCGCGAGATCAGCAGCTAACATTACCAATGCTCGGTTTTGCCAGCGACGTGGCAGAAAATAAGCATGGTACCTGTATGTTGATGCAAGTTTTCAACTTCATCTGTGTCTACCTCTTGATTCCCGCCACCAATCAAGTTCAACCCTTCTTCAATATATGTACTCTATGGTGCTCGGTCCATCTCCCCTCAAAAGTTGGTGGCGATTGATGCTGTATTGGGCGCGTTCTTGTGCTTGGTCGCTTTGGCGGGTGCACAGCAGGGTGGTTGCGCCGCGTAGATACGAGTCTCGCATTTTTTTTGGGGAGGGGCTGCGTGTTGCGCCGACAAGTTTGAAACCTGCAGTGGACGGAATTTGCCAAATCTTGGTTCCCTAGATAGCTACTGGAATAGTCTACTGCTGTAAACCTTTAGCCTTGGGTGGATGTACGCCGGTCGCGCTGCTCTTCTGTGTAAAACAATAATTTTTGTTTCTCCGCCATCTTTTTTTTTTCCAGTCGTGCAGCACTGGGAGGCGCTTTGTGTTGAATGCGTAGCCAGTTTTGCAGAGGATGTTTCCCGAGTGGTTATTTGTGTTCTTGCATTGGTTGGAAGATTATCAACAACGAACTTCCAGATCGTATAGTGTATCAAGCAGGTTTCTTTTTGTGGTACGTACTTGGCTACAAGATCGGATCTGCAGAGAACATGTGTGGGGGGTATGCTGCTGGGGGTTCCAAGTGCGGGGCCCCTCGTGAGAGCCCGCCATGTGTTCGTTGTGTCTGCGAGATAAACTGTGCAATGTGTGCTGGAATAGCACGTGTGTGTTAATCAAGGGTATATATCATCTGCATCGGTCCTCTGGGTGAACATAGTCCCCAGACAGGCATCATACCGTGGATGGGCACGGCAACCTCCGAGTGTGGTCACTGGGGTACACAAACAGGCTGTACTGCTGTTCCTGCAAAAATCTGCTTCGTATCTTACCCGACGAGAACAGACTATCAGTGGTCCACTCTTCCTTCTTCCCCTCGCTCCTCGACAAGCTTTTGCTTAGACATGGGTT